GGTAGATAATGCCATAGAGGTTATCCAATTATCACAGGAGCCTGCTTTTGCTTTAGATGTGCACCTTCTCCTGTTTTGAGACTGATCAGAGTTCCCCAATGCTGTGGTTACTAGACATTTTGCAGCCCTGGACATGTGCTAGGACTGGATGACTGTGGCCAAGATATTCATAATCCTTTAAGGTTTTGTATTTTCCCTTTCACATGTTCAGGTATCATAATTATGATGCAAAACAACAACAAAAAGTTAGTTTATATCTGCTATGAAACTGCTATAAGAAACTGGGTTTGCAGCTGCTAAAATGTCCTGGGCACAATCAGGAAGTTTATCATGTTCCGTTACAGGTTTTCATGTACTTCACCCACATGAAGTCAGTGCCCCAATGCTCATCTCATTCCCCACAAAGGGCTTCAAGATTGCAAAAATCTTTCTCTCCAGTGCTTCCAAATGGAACTTCGTGAGCTGTGTAGAGATTGAGGAGGTGGGTTTCCAGGGAGGTTTCCTGACCATTGCTCCCTGGGGTGTGGAAACAAGAGCTGTGGTTGTCTTTAGAAAGAGAGTTTTTGCTTTCTTGCTGAAGATCTTCAGCTTACATTAAGTAACTTTGCTCTGAATGAAATGATATTATCAAAATGTTTCATTAGTCAGAGATTTGATTTCATACCTTTTGATTATGAATGAGACCCTGCTCTCCATCCTCATTTCAAGTTCTGGGATACTCCTGTCTCCTTAGCAGGCATTGCTGGCAAAGGGCATGGCAGCAACCAAAAGTTCATGTAATGACTAAAAGCAGCTCGGTTCCTAAACAGCTTGTGAAAGCAGCATAGATGGTACTTGCCTTGATGTTGCATATTTTGATTACAAACATTTGATTCTGCACCTTTTATGGCATGGACATGAGAGTTCAAGCCAGGCAGAGGAGTCAGATGCTTTACAGAAAACCACAAATCATTTCAGATAAATAAGACATTTATTTAATAATTAATCTTCTTGTTATACAGTATCCTGCATTTGTTGCCATACTAAAAAGTAAATAAGATGTTCAAATATTAATGTTTGAGAAGGAGCAGGTCCTGACCCAAAGCAGTGTATTTTTAAGGAATTCATTGAACCCAGATGGACTTCTCATGGCATCTCGGTACAGAATGAACTAGTGTTAACAATGCATCTTTCTTTTTTCCAGGAGCTGTGGTCAGTCAGCTTTAAAATCCTAAGATCAAAAATTGAAAGTGTAAATAAAATATGAGTTTGGTCTCAGCAGTAATATAAATTCCATGAAAATACTCCCCTCAGGGGGGTGGAAAAACATTCCTTAAGTCACAACACTTCTTTAAATCAGTGTGTAATTATCCACTAAAGAAATGCACATAGCAGTTTAGAAGAATTGGCGCATGTTGAGACAAACATCTTTACAGTAGTGAACGGGAGATCTTTAACTATGTGGCTGTCCACAGTATGGCTAATTTTATCCGATCTTACCAACACACAAAATACGTGCGAAGTACTGTTTCGACCCCTGTATGTGCTGTAGCTGAAACCCCAAAGCCAAGTAGTACTAACACAATGCAAGACTACACAATGAAAATAAACCAAAGTGAAGGCATATTACATTTTTTAATTTTTGTTATAACAATTAAATAAGTAATGTTGCACATATATAGAATTTCTGCTCCTTGCTGCATGTACCTAATGGTTATTCCCATTCATACAGTGAGACATGTCCCACAAAGTACAGAATGAGTTCACATCTTCTTTTTTCAGTTTCAGTGTTTAATACTTTCCAGCAAAGATAACTTAACAATGAGCATACATCCTTCTGCTGGCTGTCCCTTGGAAATGGTACCCTACAGGAATCTACCAGCCTCTTTGCAGAAACCATTGCAAAGCTGAACTAGCACAGATGTGATTGCATGTCTATTTTACCTAACCTTTATCTATTTTCAGTGAAAACATGGAAATCTTTGGTTAAGTTAGCTGGTTTTGAAAAAACAGTCTTTCATTTCCTTACCAAACATAGAAAACTTGGTAAAAGAATACAAAATTGAATCCTGTTCTTATGTAACATTTAATTTAGTTTTTATTGTATTTATTTTCAGAAAATACATTGAACAACAGTTGCAAGACAAGTAGATACTTTCAGACATCTTCAACAGCAGCTGGATATTGAGGGTCTCTACAAATATAAAGTTTTTTTAAATCAACAAAAGTGACTGATTCAAAAATGAAACTTTTTCTACAAATCTTGAAATAATATATTTTCTTATATTCTTCGTAACAGGCGGTTCTGCTAATCTAACCTGCCGAGCTTTCTTTGGATATAGTGGAGATGTCAGTCCTTTAATCTACTGGATGAAAGGGGAGAAGTTTATTGAAGATTTGGATGATAGTCGAGTTTGGGAAAGTGACATCAGGTAAAAGAAAAAGCATTTTGGTTTTCTGTCAATATCTTTTTTTGGTAGTTAATGTAATACTGGTTATCACAGGCTAACTCAGGAATACTTTGGGTCTAATCCCTGGTTTTGCAACATCCATTCTTTACCTTTTCAAGTCTACCAGTAGAGAACAGAAAAATGCACTCCTCGGCCACATCTGATGTTAGAGAGCTCCAAAAGCAGAATAGCTGCCCAAGAAGTACTGTAGTGTAACTGACTGGAATTTGCATAGTGACTTTTTCAAACTCTGGCAATCTACAGTAAGAACCATTAAGACAGTTACCAAGATGAAATAATGAAAAATAAATACATTCAAGGAGAACAGCTCAAAAGAAGTCTTTTAAAACATGGAGCCTTAAATAAATGCTGAAGTCTAGCTTCTCTTTTGGAATGTTTTGATCTCTTTTCTTCAAGTTAAAAATTTAGTTTCCTGGGATGTGAGAGCCAAGCATCCTGTTATGTGGGCTGCTTATATCTGCTGAAAATCTTGTTTTAGAGAGGATCTGGCAACTCGTGGCATGTACTTTTACTGCTCCTAAAAGTGCTGCCTCATTTGGAAATTAAGAAAAAAGTGGGTTTGTATTGTGAATTACATGCTTGACATAGCATATCAGCTCCTATCCAGTATGAAGTATCTACTTGGATCTGAAGAGATGCCTTTTTCATTTATAATTCTGTATGTGTGCATATTGCTATATATCATGGATAAACCCAGAAATGAAGGCAAATCTAAATGTGTGTTACAAAGGAAGCTAAATAATCACAGATTTGTTATCCACAGCAATTGTCTGTAATAGAACAAAATGAGCTTATTTACACTTCACCTCTTACATAGGAGTTTACTATCTCATCAAAAGACATGAAGTCACACTCATTTTCAGCTTAACCTTGGACTTCTTCAGTGTGACCAAAGTAAGAGAGACGATTCCTTTACCAAAATCAAGAAGGCCACATAGACATTCAAGATCATCTTGGAAGCATATTTCACTACAGTGTACTTCAAGTTTATCCTATAAGAGACCAATACACTAAATAGTGCATGACAACCAGATCAGTTGTATTTTGCATCTAAAGCTTCTCCTAAGCCCTTCAGCCAGAGACTTGGCTTTCTGAAGGTTGATAAAAAGGTGACAAGAACCTCCTAACAACTTTTCTTGTTTTGTAGAGGGAGGTGCAGGAAGGCTGGTTTCCACTTCTTTTCTCAGGTGTGACATGAAGGAGCAGCCTAGAGCAGTTTGTGATTTGCTTTGCTGGGTTTCTAAAACCATGGATGGGCTTGCTAAGAGGAGAAGCAAGCAATGCAAAGACAGGTGCAGTCTTACACAGGAGGTTTTTTTTTATTATTTATTATCTGTATGAACAAGCATAGCTGGTATGCCAGTTATTTCTACAGATTTATAATACACAGTCAAATTTTATAATACATTCAAGAAATAACTTTTCAGACCCTGGCATGAACACAGTATTTCTGAGTGACATGTTGAAGACCCTCAGAAAGTGCACAAATAGTGTGTTTGGTCCAGACTCCTAGTGTGACACGGAACCCCAAAATAACTGTTTTCTTTTTCTCTCTTCTAACATTTCAAGATTTCACATACTTCACAGATCAGGGTCTACATCAGTGTGCAATAATATATTATCAGTATGTACATCATCCTGCTTAAAGAAGACAATTAACTGAAGCTCTCATTAACATTTACAAAGCCAAACCTCCTCATTAGAAGTGAGGAAGAAAAGGGCATGATATAATTTAATTAAGATTTCATCAAACCATAGCCAAATTTGAAGCCAGGGAGTTATGAATTGTAAGTAGCATTATCATGTCATGATTATTTAATGCTCTGCTATGATATAAGCAGCATAGCAGCGATGGTTGCTTCTTTCTCAGGGTTCTCAAGGAACATCTCGGGGAACAGGAGGTTTCCATCTCATTGATTCTTGACTCTGTGGAAGAGGCAGATCTGGGGAATTACTCGTGCTACGTCGAAAATGGAAATGGACGCCGACATGCCAGTATTCTTCTACATAAAAGGGGTAAATATGCAGTTTTTCTCCATGAAATGGTACAATATAGGGGCAGTCAGTTTGTAGAGCTTCCTTCTGATGCAAGCAGGAATTTTGGTTTCCTGAGATATTAACAGGCAAAGATCATTTTTCCCCAGGCATTTGTACAATTCTCAATATAAAACAGAAATGTTGTTGTTAACTATGGCTGTCACTGGGAAAAATAACAATAACACCTTTTAATTATATTTATATAAAAGATGCATTTCATAATTCGTGAACCTTAAAACTAATAAAGGCTCAACAGAGAAAAAAATAATAGGAAGTTACAGGTAATACAACTGTAGTAATTTTCTGTAAGAAATAAAATCAAATATTAGACAAGCCAAGAAAAATACATTCCACTTCTGTCAAAAATGCCACATAAACCCTGTGCCAGGGGAGTTCCAGCATAGCCTGACCGTGGACATTTTCCTTCTAACACATTTGTTTAACACCAACATTTCTGAAGTGAAGTATCATGACAGAAACTTCTAAGGACCATTCTGCTTCTACTCACCACTCACATCCCGTGATTCCAGCCTGCCTAATGGCCACAACCATCCCCCACGGAGATAATTACAGAGAGGTGGAGAATCTCTTACAAAGCGAGGTTCCCAGATCCACTTTGTTCACTTTACCTCCCAAAGGGTGCTCCATATGCCTGGGCTTAACAGTCCCCACCCTCATGCAGCATCCTGCTGGTTTAAGAGAGCAAAGAATAATCAGGAGCAGTGCCTGTACTTCACTGTCATTACTGTGCTTTTTTCAGACTGTTTGTAAAGCTGAGCAAACCAGGCTCTTACTGTGCTGCTGAACTACTTGTGGCATCTCAATTTATATCAAAGCCGTGATATCTTCCCTAGTTTTAGTCTTGTAGTATGCAAAGTCTGTCTAAGTTTAAAAGAAAGCCATAAATCAAGACAGTGTGACTCATTTATTTAAAAGTATTTTTGTGTACTTTTAATTAATTGAACTAATTTGTACCATTTCTCAGAACTATTGTCATTGCTTCTTAAGAGATGCAGATGTAAATAATCAGATGTTCTGCTTAGCCTGGCATTTGCTATGTTTTCTTGAAGTTACTGAGATGGGAAATTAACTTATTACGTAATTGAACCTCAATAATTTACCTGCTAGTAGTCATATACTCCTAATTCAGAGACGTTTGAACCCAGAGCAAGAGCTTAACCCAACAAACACTGAAATCCAATGACTTGTTTTAAAAATGAGATTAGTGCATGGAACACTGAAAATAAAGAAATTTTAAGGCTTAAGTTACTTTAAACCAAATACTTAATTAACTGACATATATTAAGTCACATGCTGATGGTGAGTCCTTATTTTCCCTTCCATACAAGCAGTAGCTCCGAGACTGACAACACATAAGTCTTTTCTGTTCTGTGACCACCAGCTTTTTAATCTACCAGAGTGCATGCATGCATACATTTTGCAAGGGTCTACTTTCCTTGCTTCCTTTCTTGGAGAAATCAGTATGTCAAACACACCACAGTATGTGGCCTCATGATGGCACGCTTAAGAGGAAGTAACCTCAATATTTAATTGCCCTTATACAGAGCAAAAAGCTAAAAATAGCAAAAACTCCCCCAATTTTTTTTTTTCCCCTCTTTAAGTAAGGTTGAATCTGAAATTGTGATTTGGAAACAAAATCTGTTGTGCCCTCGAAAAACAAAAGGGATCTGTTACAAGCCTTCTACATATTTTGCATGTTGACAACTGTTTCAGTGAAATAATAAATTAACCATGACAGATAAAAATTTGAGCTAGTCTCTCAGGTCTCCTAGGAAGAGGAGCTTTGCACTGCTTGCTTAGTCTCCTGTATCACCATGACAACATTTCATTTTAGGTTTCCTTGTTTAGATCCACATTTAGTCTCTGCTAGGAATGAGTTAGCTGCTTATTAATTTCTGGCTCACTTAGAACAATTGGGACCTAACAATTAGGTAAATTTGCTTCCTGAACACCGAAGCATTTGCGGAGAGATTAGTTTTGGCTGGGTTTCTAGTTAGTGATCTTTTTTTCCAGCAGTATAAACCAACAAAAATGCTGAATCTGGAATGTTCACTGGATACCTGAAAAAGAAATTATAATCCTTCTTAAACTTCATATGTGGTATATTATCACCAGGATCAGAAGGGACAGGAAAGCAGAAATCTCTGTTACTGAACAAAGAGTGTTCCTGGGAAAAGAGGTATTTAGGGCCAAATTCTGCAGTGGGAATTCAGGTACAAAATTTAAGCCTTTCAAATACCCTTGCAACTGTTACTTCGCCCTGCTCAATATATCCTCTGTAAACTTAAACTTCCAGGCAGAGCTTTTGGATATGCCTGCAATTACACAGGCCCTGAAAGGGCAAGAAGTTGAGTCTAAACCACCAGCAAAAAGCTGGATGCATCTTCCTCACTCCTCCCACTGGTCAGCCCAGCAGGGACACACACTCACCTCACAGGAAACACAAGCAGGGTCCCTCTGATGGTGGTCCCCACCAGAAGCCACTGCCTGGCACATTCAGCTGGGGAGAGGGGGCTTCTGCTCTTAAAAAAAGCCTGGAGCCTCCCCTTTCCCGCGAGGAATTTCGGGAGGGGAGCAGAACACAGCTCCCCCAGACTCCAGCACCACTTGTGCAGGAAAAGAGAACTCAGTTTGGATATCCATCCATCACTGGCAGAAAGCTGGGGTCCCTGGCACCTCCCTCAAGCCCAGATCTCGGGGAGCTGAGCCCTGATTTTCTCCTGAGCTTCTTTTACTTTCTGACTGCCAGTGGAGAAAACCTATGATCCATGTTTTTGTGCAGCCAACTAACCATTTTTAGACTTTCCTCAGATGCTTGCGTAGGGGGCATTTAACTCGGAGCTAAAGGCAGTAGAGCATTTTAAGCATGACAATGCTGATGCTGTTTCCTTTTCTGGTCCATTCCTACAAAATTTGTGCAAAAATAATCAGAAAAAGAGAGTGATCAGAACCCAGGAGATTTCATTTTCATTCCCTTCCACCAGCTGTTGGCCAAATCTCTGTCTATCACCTTTATAATAATCAAGTTATTTTCTCTTTTGTGTGAGGGAAAAAAAAAAAAAATTACTTGTTATAATCTAACGCTGATTTTTTTACTTGTTGGTTACAGTTATCATTGATCATGGGTAGCAGTTACATGTTAATCTTCAGCCAGGTAGAGGAACCTTCTAGAAATTAATTTTGAGAGTGGTAGTGACAGCAGCTAAGCACAAATTTATTAATGACAGACCACATATTGCAGATGATATAAGGGGTAGATCACACACTATAATTCTAATTTCTTCACAGGTTTTTAATTCAAGAACACAAGCCCATAGACTACCAATGTAGTAGATAAAAATATAATGCATAAGGAGAAAGAATGCTCTTCTATATTGTTATGTATTGAAAAGTACGACTTACATGCTGGATCAAAGCCTTTGTAGTCTCATTTAATCATAGACGATGTTGGAAATTATCTATTATTGGAGTATTATCCAATTATGTGATTATTTTCATGGAAATTCTTGTCTGCATGTCTGCAACTAAAACTCTAAAGCAAAAATAATCTCAAATTATATCTTGGCATTTTTTTTTATGTTATTGATATTATTCTAAAAGCTTAATAATATACCTGTACTTTTCATGGGACAGACACCAGAACTAAGAGCAGGTAACATACTTTATGTATTTTTTCAAAGTATCTCTTTCCCTTTTTTCCAATTTTGTCAGTGCTGTCTAATTTCCTGTCCTAGGCCTTTTTTATGTTTTGGGTTTATTTTCCTCTATCATAGGTGTTCTCAATGGGCTTATATGGGTCTTATTGACTATAAGCTAATGAGGGATGGTTAAAACAACTTTTTTTCTGTTGGGACAAAAAAAGACCTTCACTGAAATAAATTGCTTAGAGGAAGAGATTTATTCTGTTTGAAATTGCCCATGAGAATGTATGTTTGAAAAAGAAACAAGTTGATATTTCCTATAGGAAATGCATCTTGAGGAAACCTATGAATACGTAGGCATACTTTAAACTCATCATTTTTTAATGCATAAACATCATATTAGTATTTTCTGTACAATTGAATAGCAAATTCTGAATAGCAAGTAATGCTGAATTTTCTTCATACAGTTATTAACAATAACAGAATATCTGACGAGCACCTCAAATTACAGTGTCATTCACATAATAGTGTAAATCTGTTTTATTACTGTAAGGACTTGAATAAGCTAAGTTTTTGATCTCATGAGCATTTTCGGCCACTAGGACATGATTTCATACAGTGGTAGTGATGAGTGACAATTAAGACTTAAAAGAGAAAAGAAACAAGTTCTTTTCTAACCTCTACAAAGAAACCGCAGGTGTTATAGCTCCCTTTGCCATAAAGCTTCATGATGCTTCCGAAATTTCTGAATGGGAGCTCATCATGTGAGATATGAGAACAATGAGTTTTATATTTCAACTTCTGTTAATTGGTCCTACTTACTTGAACATTTCAGCAAATCTCTGAGTCTCGGTGGAAACAAAACTCTGACGCACTTGGTCAGTTAAGACACATGTATATCTACCAGTGTATAAAGCATTCATTTTTTATTCTGCACTGCAGGAAAAACTTTGCAGAGTTCCTCACCACGTTTTAGAATTTGAATTTAAATTGGATTTGATTTGATGGGAATTGATTTTTCATCCCCTATGGCCATTCAAGAAGCCTTCAGGTTGTCACTGTGCTGGGCAGTGCAAAGGTTCAATTGACAAGAAGTTCATGACATACGGCCAAAAGTCAAATATCGCCTCCCTTCCTGTCCCAAACCTAACTGAAAGTGACTCTTCTTTTTACACTCAATCTCATCTAAAATCAGTAAATTAGTAGAATGCTAAAGACTGCTGCCTGACAGAAACTCTTTACAAGACCATTTTCTTCATCAGTAAGGTTTTTCTCATCCTTTAGAAAATTGGACTAAAACATTTCCAGTAAAAAGGT